AATAAATAAATAAATAAATAAATGGCGGAAAACAAATAGGCAAGAAATTATTACTGGGAGCCTAATGGCAGCCTGGTCTTAAGAGATTGTTTTTGAAACAGAAAACACACATGTAGGAAATATGTCTAACAATGAAAAATGGAGCGAGGGAGGGAGCGAGGAGAAGAAGGAAAGGAGTGTTGGAGGCAGGAGAGGAAGGAAATGGATAGGGAGAGGAAGGAGTCAAGGAGGAGGAGGAAGGGGAAGAGGAAGGAAGGAGAAGGGGAAGAAGGGAGAGAAGAAAGAAAGATGAGAAAGGATTAATGGGAAGAGGAAGAAAAGGAAAAAAGGAAGGAGAGGAAAGGAGGGTGGGAGGGGAGGAGGAGAAGGAGGGAGGGAGGGAGGGAGGGAGGGAGGGAGGGAGAGAGAGAGAGAGAATATAAAAAATAAAAAGCTGACTCCTACATGAATCCAATTTCTCTCCAAAGCTGGCTCAGAATTCTAATCCTTCTGTGGTCCTTGCTCTATGGACCATCTCTCCTTTGGAGAATTAAATGGCCAAATCCAGTCTGAACATCTGGCTGGCTTTGCGACCAACCGTAACAACATCTTTTTGGTGGCTTTTCAGTGCTGCCAGCCTACGTGAGTTCATACCCAGGTAATAGAGCCGATGGGAGTGAGGGCTTGATTCTTCTGTTTTACGGACGAACTGGAAGTCGTGGGGGGCCTTATTCACGATCATTCCCGTGTACTTCCGGCTGCCGTGAATGATGTCACGCAGCCCCTCCCACGAGTGTTTCTCCACCTGGAACTGGGACATGGAGGCGTCCTCCATCTCTACTGCCTCAGCGCTGTCGGACAGAGCGTCCACCGCTGTCATCTTCAGCCTTCCTCCAGAACTGGTCAAGGAACTAGGAGAACAAAAGAGCAAAAAAATAATTGAGAGGACAGGAAGGAGAAGAGAGGAACGGGAGAATCTCCCTTTACAAAACCTTTAGTAAGGCCACACTCGGAATAACCGCATCCAGTTTTGGACACCAGGCTACAAAAAAAGATGTTGAGGCTTTGGAGGAAAAAGTACAAAGAAGAGCAACTAAGATGATTAAAGGCCTGGAGACCAAAACATATGAAGAACGGCTGCAGGATTTGGGTTGGGCCAGTCTAGAGAAAAGAAGGACCAGGGGGACATGATAGCAGTATGCCGGTATTTGAGAGGGGGCCACAAAGAAGAGGGCTCATATTACCATATCAAGGAAATCAGGATGACAAAGCCATCCAGTTGGGGACTGAGTCAATAACTGGGTATTGAGTCTATACTGGGTATAGATAGCCTATGCTTAAGATCAGGAATGAATTAAATTGTTCAAAGTTAGTGTAACAAGCAGCTAAGATCAATGTAGAGATGTTATTA